CTCTTAAAATTATTATATCAGGGTTTAACACAACAATTCCAAATGATTTTTGAACGCTTTTCATGTATCAGAAAGACAAAACAGAATGTTTGTTCACAGATGTTCCAAAGGAAAACAAACACAAAGAAATGATTTGTAATGTTCTTTATGTGATTCATGTAAAATGTATTTTAAAAGTGTACCCTAACATTCATCTTTTGCATAAATACATTTTTTGTGGAGAATTTCTCATAACTTTGAAAAAAGTAGTCTTATTGTATAATAGGGTTAGCTTAAAATCTTGTAGACTTTAAAGTTGTATATGATGTGTTACACATCTTACATATGTAACCATTTCAGGGTTTTCAGCATATATTGTAGTTTTGTCTTAAATTTGTTTGTTCATGTAATCAATAATTTGCTAATACTCAAATTAGGAAATATATGAGAGAATAAACAAGAAAATCAGGTTTAAAAAATGTTTTTTACTACAAAGGGGTTAGTCAATATATTGAATCTATAAGTACATTTAGTCTATACACTTAAGGTATTTTTGTATGAAATAAACTTACATTTGAGCATTTTTAGACAATTGTTAACATTACTTGAACCAGTTTTAAAAAAATGATTAGATTCACTGTCAGCATGTTATTTCATATAAAATAAATGAGAAAACAATTTTATTTGAGTCAGTTTTTTTTTTATGTAAATAAAAAAGCATTGGAAGTTGGGAATATTTCACAAAGTTGATTGAGCATAATTCTCACTAGGACAGTAGTATAATGATTTAAGCATTAAAGAAACCATTTCATATTTCAATATACAAACCATGTTTAGTCAAGCAGTATATAGTTTACTCTTGCCAAAAAGTAAATGGTATCTCTATTCAGGGTCAATCCAAAGGTAAAAAAGAAATGAAAAAATATATTTCTATTTATGTATCAAACATGTAGGTATTATTGCCATAAATTCACTGTATTCATTTTTTGTTCTCTTTCTATGTATGAATATCTCTGATTTAGGCAATCAGAATACAAGAAGTAAATGAGTTATGTCAAATGATGAAGGTATACACCAGAAAATTAACATGGACAGAGAATTCTGAGTTTCCCTCAAATATGGCCGCCAAGTGATGTGAAATAAAAACAAAATGTGGATTCATCTATTAGGATTGAGACTTGTACATATTATGAATGATGGGTACTATGACATTAAGAATGACATGAAAGAAATAAGTTCGATTCAATTATATGAACAGTTCTTAATCCATACAGTCAAAATGGAAGAAATATTTTACTTTATAGGCATAAAGTAACAAACACTTACCCAATGCATCAAAATTTTACTTTTTGAAGAAAAGGAACCTTACTTACTTTGTTGAGTTGACATATTTTTTGTTTGACAGGTAGACTAATAGTTTCTGACTAGTATAATGAGAACTTTTTATTTAAGAGTCCTCAGATTATTCTGATATTCTGGTTAAGATATCTGTATGACATCAATTAATTTGTTCATACAAAGGGATAAAAGCTTTTTTCCAGGTTTCCTCTTTACTCAGATTAGATTGTGTCTTGTTAATATATCCAACATATAAGATACTCATCAAAGTTACACAAAAGGTAAATAAATGACCTTATTAAGTTTTTAGTCAAAAGGTCAAAGTGAGGAGGACATCTGCTAAATTTAATTATTTAGTTAATATTCATCAATGGATAGGTTAATTAAACAAACTTCATATATTTTTGAATTTTTAGGTTAAAGATCAGCACAATTTTTTGCTATACCATTGTTTTCCATGAATATCTTAACACCTCACTTTTGACTTTTCAGGTTAAAGGTCAATGTATTCCTACTACATTAAAATCTTCATTATTTAAGGATCTCAGAGTGATATTTTTTTATTTGTAAGGAATTAGGTATAAAATCTCAGACTCTTTCTATAATATGTCACTGAATGGGCTTCTTCATTTTAGAGAGTTTTACGAGCAAAATCATATACTGACTTTCAATCCTTCAAAACACAATATGTATATTTAAATCTTGAGATTCAGACTTTTTCAGACTTTTAGGTTTTCAGACTTTTAGGATTTCAATTTTAAAAACTTTCAGACTTTTAATCTTTTAAAACTTTCAATCTTGAGGACTGAGTATTTTTGATATTCATTTGGTATGCCATGTCTTTTAAATCATTACCATTAATCCTTAGTCATTCAAACTTTTCATATATGTAATACCAGAGTGTGAAAGTAACAGTGTATGTGCAATCTTCTTACTGTTTATCTAAAATTACTGATTTTAATACAGTCAAATAAAATTTTCTGATGATGGAAATTTCCAAAACTGTCTGACTTATACATATTTAAAGTTCACACTGTTGAATATCCATAAATATCAAAATATAATGATTCAGCATTAGCTATCATTCATACACTTGTTGAAATTCCTCATGCAATTTTGAAGAATCTCTGTTCTAAAGGATGCTAAAGACAAAAGATCCATACATTTCCAAGTAGTCATAATGTTTTAAAACTATATGTATCCACATTAAATTAAGGAACATTGGACCCCCCCCCCTTTTTTTCCTTTATAACTCATGACATTTCATGTAGATAGTGGGTATGATGTGTAAAATAATCTTTTTATGAAAAGAGGATGGTGTAAAAGTTACTCTTACCCCACACCCAAGGGGAGTAGGGAAGGGGGTTGAATCCCTTTCTTTTTGTCCAAGGAAAACCTGAATTTTAAAGATTAAACATAAGTTATCAAACGAATTAAATTAATAAAATTAATTTATTTTCTAAAAGTTTCTTTTTTAAATCTGAACATTTAAATTTTTTTTCCTTTTGATTACCAGACTGTCTAATAGGTGAACTGTATAAAACTGAATACAGATCATTTTAAAGTCTTGCATTTTTTATGGCAAATCATTAAATAATGGGATAATATATATATAAACCTCACCCATACATAAACAGGAGTGAAACTGAAAAGCCATGCAGGTTTGCATTCTTAATCTTATTTTTTGTTTACTATATGTATGACTTGTACCACTCCAATTGAATAAATAAATAAATTAAAAAAAAAATAGGCTTTCCTCTCCTTAAGTTTTCTGTAACCATTAGCACACTCTCAAAAATACAGCACCTTTTAGAAAAAAATTATGGCTTTTTTTTTTCCTGTTTTATGTTAGACAGACTTATTTTCTATGAAACTGTGTTCATGTGAAATTGAATCCTTTTGACCTTATATACCTTAAAATTGAAGAAGTAAAAAAAAAATTATACCTGTTTTAAATGGATGACCATGTTCAGTGAGATACTTTAGTGAGATACTTTAGCAACAAAAATACAGGACCTGTGACCCTTCTATTTATAACAACACTTCTTTTTAAAAAATTCAAAAATTTATTCAATGATTTACACTTCTATTTCTTCTGATGATGATCGGTCCTCAATCAGTCGCGTCAACACCCCAGGTCCTTTGTTTTCCATCGAGTCTTTAATCTGGGAAAAAGGGATGCGACAATACACGTACTCTGTAGGACAATAATGAGGTGGAAACGTCAGTCCTTTTTTCTCCATCTTGATATAATATTTCAGACAATCTCCAATGTCCGAGAACCATGAACTTTCATTCCGAATGGTGTTGATGGGTGTCAGAAGATTCCTTTGAGTACAAGTAACCCATTTGTATTGCTGATAATGTTGGTTGATTTTCACCCTCACTGTAGATCCTGTTAGAGGTGGGATTTTCATTCTTTTTTCCAACCACACATTGTCCAGGGAATAGCCTGGATGATTTTCATAGAAATCCATGATGGCTCCTATTTTAGTTTTCATCCAGTCTCCTTGCATGTACATACACTGACTAATGGGACTCTCACAATACCAACGATACTGCATCTTTTGGGGGAAAACACGTCTGACTTGTTTCGTGTCCTTTTTCAGAATGAGAGAGAGTTGTTTGATATATACCTCTTGAATAAAGCTCCGCTTTATATATATATATATATACCTTTACTGTAAGAGCCGTGTGCAAAACATATACGATAGACCTACGTTTTTTATGCTGACTACACAGGTAATACTGGCGCCGTGTGCAAAAACCTATACGATAGACCTACGTTTTTTTTTATGTACACAGGTAAATACTTGGCAGCGATTCAAATCCCTGATTGTGACGTCATCCTTACAAAACCTAATGTATAGAGAGAGCGCGTAGTTGTGTGTTTATAGGGAAAAACAACACTAGAATTTTTGGGTTTTTCTTTTATTTTTTATTCATAACAACAAGAACAAGAACATCATTATAATAATAAACATTCAAAACTTTTCTTCAGTTCCTTTTGTATGGGAAAAGGTCTCCTCATGTACAAATAGTGTGTTTCACAACGGTTACCACGGTTAATGATATCGTATCTTTTTAGGGGGCCCACTTTCTTACCATAATCTTTAATACAATCTCCGGGTTTTTCTATCCATTTCCCTTGAAACAAAGTGCTTTCGGGTCCCTCTCTCTGGTGAGGCAAGACGTAATTGATTTTCCATTTGAATTCCCGATACTTGGGATGTCTTGGTCCTGCTAAGAGCAGGATGCTGTCCCCTATGGGATCAGGTAACTTGATTCTCTTATACAGGTAGATTTCATGGAGACCTGTTTGTCCTGGATTCTGATCAAAGAAATCTTGAATACATTCCTCTTTGTTTTTCATCCATTCTCCCTTTAAACTAGTACCCTTTTTAGGTTCTACTATTTTCCAACGATACTCTGAGTTTAAAACTTCCATGACGTGTGTGCTCTGTCCCTCACTCAGATCAGAAATGATCTCTAGGATTTGTAGGTCTCCTTTTTATATAGAGACTGGAGTATTTATTTTTTAACTTGCAGAGGAAAAAACCAATAGAGAATTTTAAATTAAGAATAATTCAATAATCTCATTCTTTTATCACTGAAAAAAAATCTAGGTCTGATTGCTTAACAATAGAAAACACTAAATTTGAGTTCTGTCCTTTTATTTATAGTTAACACAGAAATATCCGTTTGGACTGTTGAATCTCGCCACGACAGATGGGGCAAAAATGAAAAGAAGGAGCACACAAAGCACAGCAGCATAGGTGTCCACAAGGTAGAAAAGCGATTTGTAATTCCTCGTCTAAACAAATGTGACATTTTCCTCGAGCCTGGACGTCTGGTTGTGGGTTCAGTAGAGGTTTGATCTTAATGAAAGGTTTATATCCCTGCTTCTCTAAGTCCCCGACAAATATACTCATCACCCAGCTTCGACCCTTATACTGATTGATGTAAGGACAATTGGGATTCCAATAAGCATGTTCTGCATAAGGATCCTCCTCAAGATCCCAATTGGTTAAAGTCATTCCACAATGAAAACAGGTAGCGTTATCTTTCACTCCCCTGTAGAAAAACCCAGCTCGAGCTAGGTCTGGTATTTTCCCTAAGAGAGGTTCTGGCCATCCCTGCTCAAAAGTAGCTTCTCTCTTTGAGAGCTGAGCATACTGGGGAAAACGCATGGGTTGGTCTGGCTCGCGACTCCCCATGATTAGAAATGACCTTTGATTTTGAATAAGAATACCTTTTTATAGAGAAAAAAAAACAACACATAAAAACAATTCAATTTTTTATTTGTAACAAACAAACAAACAAACAAACAAACATATCAATAACCATAAGGTAAAGTGTTATAATTCTCTACAATTTGTCTCTTGTCATATACAATTCTAACTGTTTTCTCTGAAGGTTTGTTCACGACCTCACAATCCCGGGTCCTCTGGATTTTGCTGGGATAGGGAACTTTTATTTCCTCTATTTCTCCCATGAGCATTTTTTGTAAAGTCTCTGGGCACACCAACTGAGAGGTTCGATGGTTGAGAGTGACCCCTTTGCATTTATGAACCTCGGTTCCTTTGTCCGTTCGGAAAGCATAATTTTTAGGACCTGCCGACATGAATTTAGTGATGTGATCCCCGTCTAATTCGTCGGTCCATTCTCCTAAACTATGGCCCAAAGTAGGATTAAAAGCTCCTTCCTTATGTTGGTAAATGATACTGTCCGTATCGAAATAAAGGCCCCGTTCTTCTAAAGGTCGTAAAGTCTCGTAGAGATGTAAGCGAGCATAGGCGGTGGTAAAACAAGCTAGGATCACGTTTCCAAAGGGACATTCTTCGACGAATTCCTGTTTGTCTTGAAAATTCACTAGAATCTTGTCTTCAATGGAATCTTCTTTATTGACTAAGAGTCGCACACCCTTGATGTCGACCGTCGAATTTTGTAAGAGTTGATGTAATTCCTCTACTTCGTCCAAGTATCTGACTTTGGGTAATAACAAGCGTTGAGCAAATTTTCCCCACAGACAATTTAAAAAGAGTTTAGCAATGGTTCTTAACACTGGATTCTTCTTGATACTGAGAATGTCCATCATGAATCCTTCTTTGTATAACACTTCTCGAATGTAATCTTGTTCTTGTTCTGAGGTCTTACATTCGGAGGGAAATCCGGACGCTTCCTGTTTGATCTTGAGGAAGGTATCGATGTACTCTTTAAATAAGTCTTGACTGCGTTCTTTGAAATGCCACACTTCGTAAGTTTGCTCTAAGGTATACCCCATGTCCAAGGCTTTATGTAATTCGCACGTCACCCAAGTACCCGTGAGACTACGTTCCCGGTCGGTGTGTTGACATGGGTGTTGAGACGTAGAGTCTTGTTGTTGGGCACAGGTGCGACATAAGGGAAATAATAACTTACCTCCCGTCCGATAAGGTAATACGGGGTGAAAGAGGCCTCGGGGTGGTAAGACCCGACAGTGAATGAGACCGAAATAACTTCTCACGTCCTGGAAGTCGTCTGTGATGATCTCGGGATGCCCTAAGGGAAAAGGTCTGTGTTTCAATACGTAAGGGTATAAGGAACACACGTCCACGTATCTCATGTCCCCTTCATCACAATATAATTTAGTGGCATTGGTCCGGCCTCCGTACAGGGCTTCTCGAGGTTTCAAAGGATCCGGAATGTCCAGATCTCGTACAAATTGCTGTAAAGTCTCATCTTGTTGCACTTGTTGATCGAAATCGTGCTCCCAGATACTACACACGTTGTACCCCATGTCCTCTAAATCCGCAGTCCTTCTGAGGGTTTTCTCGTGTAATTGTTGGTAAGTAAATTGGGTCCGGTGAGGATGAGTTTCCGTCTGTAAACTGGGATAGCAAGTGGGGCATCCGTGCCAATAGCATCCGTAAAATTCGTAGACGGTACGAGTCGCTTCCTGGTATCCGTCGACGGTATAATTTCCGATCGGGACTTCGCCTCCGTTTCTGGCATGTCGTATGTGACATCCATTCTGATGACTCATCCAGGTGAGCCATCGACAGGCTTTGGCCGAATATTGTCGTGCCGGATCATACCCGAGGTTCGGAATGATGGCAATGCTGTCTTTAGGCATGAAATTTCGACGGTACGCTAAATTAGCAGCACTGGCAAACGTGATGGATTCCTGGAAAGGGTCCACGTTGACCAACTTCTTGAGGGTGCTTCTAAACCGTGCACAGCATTTGTGTAAAATGTCGACGTCCGAGATACAATACCCTACAAACTCTTTCTGGAAATCAAACACTTTTCCCCTCTGTTGGTCGTACCATTCGTAAAAAGCTTTTCGTCCACTGGTAGTCATTTCGTCCGGATTGTAGAAAGCTGCCGGTGGATAAGGTCCCACGTAATTCTGGTTCTGTTCCGTATTAAAAAAGTGAGGGAAATAACCTTTCTTCATTTCCTTCAAATCGAAAGCGGAGGGCATCTGGGCCAATGGAAAGGTTAAGAAACTATAAGAGTCGATGAATTTGAGTCCACATATTTCCATGGACAAGATCTTACTCCCGTTCATGATCACGCTAGGTTTCAGGGGAGAAGAATGCACTATGTAATTCAAAATGAATTGTCCGTCGTATCCTTTGAAGTTATGGGCGATGATGATGGCCCCATCGTGTACTAAAGTGGAATTCTTAGTACCTGTAGTGGGTTGAAATAACCAGTCCATGAACTTCTTTAAGGTGTCTGGGCCTTGAAATAGGTGCTGACGGGGTCCCATGTGTTGACAATGAGGACAAGGTTGGTCTATGGGTAAGTCATCGCAATGTTGACAGACGCGATGTGCCACACACAGATTAGGAACGTGAATGCCCGATTCCTGAGTGCATTCGAAATCGAAATAAATGGTAAACTCTAAGGTGCCTTTTCCCTTCTTCTTCTTCTTGGGCTTCTGTCGAACGTAGCACCGATGATCGGCATCGACGATTTTCTTACAGATCTTACACTGTTTCTGATCTCCGCATTTGTGATGAGGAAATAATTTCTTAGGTATCCAGGACTGACATTTCTCGCATATCCCCATTAAATTGCAGACAGTAGTGCTGGTCTTCTTACTATGAGGTTTTAAATGATTTTCGTAGCAGGTCCTGTTCTTAAACATTCCATGGCATTCCTGGCATTTAATCTTGATCCCTTCATCGGGACAATTAGGGTGATGTCCTAAACAAAAGGTACAGCGATGAGGGCATTTGGAGCGATGGTCTGTGAATTTAGTGTACCCCACGTCACAATGATCACAGTAATATTGGTTCCCCGTTACTCCCGGCATCGATATGATGGCATCGCAATGACGGTTGTCTAACAAAATGTTCAAACAAGTTCCATCTCCCCAGCCTTTGAAGATGCGCTCTAAACAGAGTTTAGTGGAAGTAGATTTGAACTGAAATATTTTCAGACGATACTGAGGAGCTAATACCTGTTGTAATTTCGGCCACTCTGCAGATCCACACGCTTGAGTGATATCACATCCGGCCTGTTCCATGAGAGCTATGGCTTCTCGTTTCTGGTCTAAGTATTGATCTCCTAATCTCATGCGTTTCCATCGTTTTTCCCATTCCGGGTCTGGATGTTCCGGTTTCTGACTGTGTAATCGAGTGACGACGATGGCTCTAGCCAAACAAAATTTATCATTGGGATTGACGATCCGAACGATGGATTGTTTATTTTTCTTGAAAGTTTCTTTATCCAGTTGTAGATGTTTGGTTCTGTTTCCACCACTCCCCTGGGGATTCTCGATGTGTAACAGATCGAATTTCGTGGAGCCGTCGCCGATTTTGAACTCCTTTTTGGATTGTTGCACACGTTGTATTTCTTTAAAAATGACGTCTTCGTTTAAATCTTTACATTGCATAAACCCATAAGAAATGTCTGAATCCAAAGATGGGTGACTTATGTTCAGCTGAAGGTAATCGTTAGGATCACACTGCATTTTCGATTTGAAGTCCTGTAACATGTTTGTGAATAATCGTCGAAGGAAAGCTGTGCTTTCTTCTTCTTCTGGAAATTCATCGAAATGAACGACATATTTATTTTCATGCGCTTTAAATTTCGGAGAGGTCCAATTTTCAGCTGGTCTCATGTGATAATACTCCGAAATGGGTTTAGGTGGTAAATCTATTTCTCTTTCGGTACTTTTTCGTTTCAATGTGCGTCGAGCCTGTACCTGTTTTTCTCTAGTAGAATCCATGTCTATCAGGTGATGGCTCTGAGGGTAAAATGAACCCAAAGTCGGAGAAAACCGTATTTATATACAGTGGATGACGTCATAATGCACAGGTAAGTTTTTTGCACACGGCCCTAAAACAAAAAATTGGCTCGCTGCCAAGTATTCACCTGTGTAGTCAGCATATTTTTTTTTTTTACACACGGCGCATTTACCTGTATAGTCAGCATAAAAAAAAACGTAGGTAAAACGTATTTTTGCACACGACCCTAAAATAAATCCATGCTATATATAAACCAGCGCTGGACATTGATGATCATTCTGTGTGAGTACTTGGAATTGGACACAGGTAAAAAAAAATGGAGCAGACAAAAAATATGACAGAGGAAATGGAGTATTGTTGGTCTATTAACGGAGAACGTTTTGGAGAATGGATGAAAATTAAAGAAGAAGCCATCCAGGATTTTTATAAACGCAACAGAAATTATTTAAAATGGCCACCGAATTTAAAGTACAAAAAATTTTGGTTGGTAAAAAGAGTGGAATTGGATCCTGAAGATTATGAAAAAAATCATGACACCAGAGAGGAAAAATACTGTCTGAAGGAGAGAAAAAATGGATATGATGGTTATCAAAAATACCAATTGAAGATCATGAGTGAACCTTATACAATACTGGAGAAGAGTTCCTGGAAAATTCAACTTGGATTGTGTTTTTATCAATTGGAAGAAAAGAGGTTTCGGAAAGAAAACAGCCTTCAAGGACTTTTTACAGATAGGCCTATTTATAAAGTGTATGTATATTGTCGCATCCCTTTATCGCCTGAAGAAAAAACAATCTAAAGAAAAAGGAGAGGGAAAAAATTAAGAAGACAGTGTATAATTGTATTTTCATTCTGAATAAAATTGAAAAATCAAAATCTGTGTTCTTGTTTTCACTAAAACCAGTTCAAACCGGTTAGGCTAGACTGTCTAGACTCTGAAGCGTGACGTCATAATCACATTCTTGCAATGTTTT